ATTTATTGAGACCAGCTACTAGTGGTGTAGTCACTCTACCTATAGTGTACTTGTATATTATTATGTGGTACGATTATTGAGTGAACTGTTTGATTCTTAGCTTGGGCATTAGAGTTGTGTATTGGATTATAGTGGCCTAGTAGACCCCGCCTGGTGATATTACGCGTTGTGGTTTTTATTGGCAAGTCGTCGTGTAACTCTCTGTGTTTTGGCACTCTGGGCTTGACTATTGGATAGTTAGGACGAAGCCCGAGTTGCGTAGTCAGCAACGACCCCCTAGGAGAGTGGAGAATCGGCGTAGGCCTGGTAGTGATTATTGCACGTTTGTTTTGGTGACTTGTTTTTGACTTGTTCACAGTGCCCGTGTATGAGCCAGTCCTATACCGGTTAGACCCGGCTTTTGGCCTAGTGGTTTCCCTGACCTTATCGCAGACCCTGGAACTTAACCCAGCCATAGTAGGCTGAGCTATCCCCGGCAAACGGTTGCGACTGCACTTTTAATATTTATTTTTCCAGTGCAGAAAATCTCGTCGCAATAGGTCCAATCTAGCTATTGGATACAGAGATATTTCAGTTTTTTTTTTAAACTCCCTTGTACAGCTAGGAACCTGCCGGAAGCAAAATTCAAAAAGGGGATAGAAACTCTTCTGTTGGCAAATTCAATTCAATCATTCAAAGAGTTTTTGAAATTTCACCTAGTAAGTAAGTTTTTTTTTTAGTCAATGGGTGCCAAGTGGGATGATTATTAAGTTTTGTTTTTGTTTTTCACTACTCTGCATGGTGTGTTAGTGTTGCAGGCTTAGGCTAAGATTTTGATGTATTGACGTTTCCTTGTACATATTGATGCTTTCAGGAAATAAATCATTCTTATTCTCATTCTCTCTCATTCTCACATACAAAATTTGACCTTGTTATAAACTTATGAAAAAGGGGACACTAGCCTAATACAAATGAGGTCCTTGTAGCTTAATAAATTTATCTCTTTTGACAAATTGCAGAAATCATGACCTAGGCCATTAAAATTTTGGTTTTAATTATGTTTCCTTGTTTGTTAATACAAAAGTAAACTAAAACAAACTGGTACAAGATAACCTAACCTTCCCGTCGTAGAACAGCGAAAAATTCTTCTTCAAAAGACTCTAATGGCTTAAAAAGTTCATAATCAGTAAACTTCAGTGACATAAAATTGGGATTAGGTTAGACCTAACTTATATCACATAAAGCAATGTCCAATACGATAATAGAGTAGGATAGGCCTAACTTATATAGGTACCAAACTATTCAATGATTTATTAGGACATTACGCAAAGCAATAGGCTAAGTCACTTACAATACAAAATAAATAGTCCATCTTGATCACAAATAAATGCGTGTTGGAAATATAATAATAAGGAAACAAACCGATCATGAAAAACAAAACTGAAGCAAAAACCATGCAAAAAACAGGCAAGAAAATAGCCATGCAAATGATTGGAAAATCTGCAGGGAAGTATTTCATTGTTTAGCTCGGCCTGTGTCTATGCGCAAAACATTTAAACAATTTCTTGTGGCATAGTTATGTACATGGTTGTTTCTCAAAAGGTGAACTTCATTTGTCTTAAGTTCTAAGACATTGGAAGATAGGCCAATATATATTTTATACAGTCATGATGCAGTTTTGTTGCAACAGCAGAAGGCAGTGTTCCAGGAACTGGACTCCACTCAGCACCCTGACAGCCTCCTTATTGCAACACTAGAATTTTACTTACACCAGAAGAATGGCCCCAGAGCCTCTTTCCGTAAATAATTATGGAGTGGAAAAAAGCAAAATAAGAGGCTCGAATGA